AAATGAGTTACTATGCGTAAATCTACATAAATATTGTCTAATTAAAACAACAAAAGTATCTTTTGAAGTTTAAGATATATGTGCAATTAAAATACATGATAATAGCACAAAAGATGGGAGGGTATAAATGGAGTTGAAGTGTTAGAAGGTTTTTACCTTGTCTGGAAAGTGGTAAGAGCACTACGTTAGGGTAGATTTTAATAAGCCAGGAAGGATGTTGTAATTGTGAGAAATGAAACTATTAATAAAAAAAATACCACAGACAAGTTACAAGAGTGTTAAAATGAAATAACAAACAACTTGGTTAATGTAAAAGAAATCAGTAAAGGAAAAAACAGAATAAAGAGGGTAAATAGAAAACAAATAGTAAAATGGTAGATTAAAACCCAAATTTCCCAGTAAATCATATTTATATTTAATAGTTCATTAATAGAGCAAATCGTACAATTAAAAAACAAAGATTGTAGGGGCACTTGGGTGGCAAAGTCAGTTAAGCATCTGACTCTTGATTTTGGCTCAGGTCATGATCTCACAGTCATGAGATCCAGCCCTGTGTCAGGCTCCATGGTGTGGAGCCTGCTTAAGATTCTCTCTCCGTCTCCATCAGCCCTTGCCACACTGCCTCTCTCTCTCTCAAAAAAAAAAAAAAAAAATTTAAAAGTCCCACAAAGATTGTTAAACTGGATAAAAACAAACTACAACTGTGTGCAACGTACAATAGGCACACCTTACTTAAAGACATAGAAGTTTGAAAGTAAATGTTGAAAAAGATACACCATGCAAACGTGAATCAAAATAAAGCAGCTATAGTTATACCAATAGAATACAAATTCGACTTTAAGGTAAAAAGAATTATGAGAGATATTAGACATATCACACTGATTAAAGGATCAATTCAACAAATTACAGAAAACAAAATAAAATAGTTCCAAAATGTATTAAGTGAAAGCTGACATAACTCCAAACATAAATAGATGAATCTACTAGCAGATGTGGAGATTTTAGTACACTTCTTCCAATAAATGATAGAATAAGCAGACAAAACAAAAGGTATGGGTATAGAAGCATGAATAAATCTAACAAATATGTCCTAACATATTTAGAATGTTGTATGGAGTTAATGTAGAAGACACACTCTTTTCAAATTGTTTCTGGATTATTTATCAAAACTGACCATATGCTGAGCCTCAAAGCAATTCTCAACAAATTTCGAGTGGCTGAAATCAGAGTATGTTCTCTGACCACAGGGGGTGCAATTAAGGTAGAAATCAGTAACAAAAAGACTAGAAATCTCCACATATTGAAAAAATAAGTAATAGGATTCTAAATAACCCAATATCAAAGATTCAAAATGGAAATTATAAAATATTTTGAACTGAACTATAATAAAACTATGACATTACAACTTGTCCAATGCATCTATAGCAGTGCTTAGAGCTTTATCGCCGTATAGTAATATATTAGAAAAGATGAAAGGCTAAAAATCAACGATGTAAACATCCATCTCAAGAAGACTGAAAAATAACAAATTAAACTCTAAGAAAGAAGGAGGAATATGATAAGAGCAGAAAACAAAAAAATAGAAAACAGACAACAGGAAAGATTAACAAGGCCAAAAGTTGGCTCTTTGAAAAGACTAATGAAATTAATAAATCTGTAGCAATACTTGTAAGAAAAACAAAGAAAACATAAATTATAAGTATCAGTCAGGAAAAAGGGACACCAGTATAGAATCTATAGATATTGAAAAGATGAGAAGACATTATGAACAATAAATTTGATGTTTTGCATAAAATGCACCCATTATGTAAAAAATACAACTTACTGGGGCGCCTGGGTGGCTCAGTCGGTTAAGCATCTGACTTCGGCTCAGGTCATGATCTCACAGTTCGTGAGTTCGAGCCCCACGTCGGGCTCTGTGCTGACAGCTAGCTCAGAGCCTGGAGCCTGCTTCAGATTCTGTGTCTCCCTCTCTCTCTCTGACGCTCCCCTACTCACGCTGTCTCTCTCTCTCTCTCTCTCTCAGAAATAAATAAAACATTTTTTAAAAATTAAAAAAAAATACAACTTACTAAAACTGATTTCAAGAAGACACATAAAATCCAAATAGTCTTATACATATTAAAGAAATTGGTTCTGGGGTGCCTGGGTGGCTCAGGCTCAGTGGGTTAAGTGTCCAACTTTGGCTCAGGTCATGATCTCACGGTTCTTGGGTTTGAGCACGGTATCATGCTCTGTGCTGACACCTCAGAGCCTGGAGCCTGTTTCAGATTCAGTCTCCCTCTCTCTCTGCCCCTTCCCCGCCAGTGCTCTGTCTCTCTCTAAAAAATAAACAAACATAAAAATTTTAAAAAAAGATATTGGTTCCACAATTAAATATATTCCCACAAAGAAAATACCAGATCCAGATGGATTTGCAGTAAATTCTCATTAATATTTAAGGGAAAAGTAACATGAATGTTACTTAAACTCCTCCAGAAATTAAAAACAGAGTGAATGACACATTTCTTTACATGTTTTATGAGGCCATTATAATCTTGACACTAAAACAATATAAGAAAGGCATACCATCAATCAAATCTCTTATAACTATAGATGCAAAACTCCTACACAAAATATTAGCAATATAAATCCAAGGATAATAAGGATAGTAAGTACATCGCAAACAAGTTGGATTTGTTCTATGAGTAAAAGAATGGTTTAACATTTAAAAGGCAATAATGTAATCCATCACATTAAAAGAAGAATATGTGATCATCACAATAGAGGCAGGAAAAGTCTTTGATAAAATTCAACACTTATTCATGTGAAAAAATCTTGGAAAACTAGGAATTGAGGAGAGTTTCTTAATCAGATAAAGGGTTTTAAAACATTCCCAACATAAGGCATGTTAATGGTGAAATATTGAAAGCCTTCCCTGTGAGATCAGAAATGAAACCTGGTTGTCTGTATTACCATTTCTAATCAAACTTGAACTGGATATTTTAGAAAATAAATTAAGAAAGAGAAATGGATCGGGGCACCTGAGTGGCTCAGTCGGGTAAGCATCAGATTCTCAGTTTTGGCTCAGGTCATGATCTCATGGCTTCATGAGCTGGAACCCCGCATCAGGCTCTGTGCTGACAGTGCAGAAGCTGCTTGGAATTCTCTCTCTCTCACCTTCTCTCTCTGCCCCTCCCCTGCTCATGCTGTCTCAGTCTCTCTCAAAATAAATAAATAAACTTAAAAAAAATTAAGAAAGAGAACTGCATCTTATAAAGATTGAAAAGGAAGAAATAAGTGTTTCATTATTTACAGATGACATGGCTGTGTGTGTGGAAATTCTAAAAATATTTACAAAAAACTTATTAGAATTAATAAATAAATTTAATAAGTTTGCCAGATATAAGGTTATTGTATGTATTGGTTATGGCTCCCCAGAAAAACAGAACCAATAGAATATATTTAGGAAAGGATTTATTATGAGGAATTGACTTACACAATTAGGGAGGTTGTAAGTTCCACAATTTGCTACCTGCAGGCTGGAGATCAAGGAAAGCCAGTGATGTAATTCAGTCAGTCTGAAGGCCTGAGAATGAGGATCCAGGCCAGCAGAAGACTGATATCCTAGCTCAAACAATCAGGTAGGAAGGGGTAAATCCTTCCTTTGCTTTTTTGTTTTATTCAGGTCCTCCACAGATTGGATGATGCCAGTCCACACTGTGGAGGGCAAACTACTTTTTTTGTCCACCTATCTCAATGCTAATTTCATCCAGAAACACCTTCATAGACATACCCAGAAATAATAGTTACTGAAATATCTAAGCATCCTTTGATCCAGTCAACTTGACACATAAAATTAATAATCATAATATACAAAAATGATTTGTATTTCTATACATTAGTGATAAGCAGAAAATAAAATGAAAAATAATACCATTGGCATTATTTTCAAAAATTATCAAATATTGAGGGTTAAAATTAACAAAAGATTGCAATATTTCTACAAAGAAAACTACAAAAACATTGAGAGAAATTAACATAGACCTAAATAAAAAGAGAATTGTACACTGGCCATGGATTAGAAGACTATATTTTAAAGATGTTTATTTTCCATAACTTGATCTTTGATACAAAACAATAATTCCAACAGGCTTTTTTTAAATGGAAATTGACAAAGGGATTCTAAATTTTACATAGAATCGCAAATGGCAATAACAGCATTAAGATCTTGTAGGAAAACAAAGTTTGACGATTTACAGAAATCAAATTACTTTACAAAGCTATAACAATTTAACCAATGTGTGATTTTTGCAAATACAGAAAAGATGAACAATGGTATAGTAGAGTCTACATGTATACTGTCATTTAAAGTATGATAAAAAAAACAATCCTTTTTAATGCAGGAGGGGCGAAAATGGTCCTTTTGGAAAGTGGCTATGGATCACCTGGGATACCCAATAAATCCAAATGATCCTTTGCATCTATTTCAAACTAGATGCAAAATTTAATCCACATGGATCACAGATTAAAGTGGAAGGTGAAACAAATGAAAGTTATTGATGAGAACATAGGATAATGTCTTAATAACCTTGATATAGTCAGGCATTTCCTAAAAAGGACACCAAAAGCAGTAACCCTAAAGAAAACAATAAATTCCATTTTATTGAAATTAAGACATTAAGAGAGTGAGAGGCAGGTCACAGAATGGGAGAAAATATTTTCAATACCTATATCTGAGAGAGGACTTAGATTCAGAATTATATAAACTACAAATCAATAAGGATAAAGGCAACCCAATTTTTCTTTTTTTCATTTTAAACAAGGAATTTATTTAAATGACAAGATGCTTGATAGGAACGTTATCTAGGATTCATTTTTTTATCCCTACTTAAAGACAGATTGCTCTACACTATATGTTAACAGTACGTACAAAAAATTATAAACTTAGTTTTTCAATGGTAAATGAAAAACATTAAAATTCTCCAATCTAACAAGGTATGCAAGGGTTTTTATGTTGCTCTTTTTTTGTTAAACAGTGAGAGCAAAACAACTTACTGGAATATAAAGAGCTGAATGAGCATGCCACTAATGGAGAAAGGGGGCATTTTCACAGAAACAGGGTACTTGCCCTATCCCATCTCCATTTGATGTCAATCAAAACATACTATTGGCCACTTAGTTAAAAAAATGCAATAAGCTTGTGCACATACACAGTTACTTTTATGTGCAATAAATGAACAGGGAAGGGGAAAATGAAATACTAGAGAAAACTATACTGTAGTAGTCAGGATGTAGTAGAACCAAATTGTGTTTCTCTATTTGAGAATGCCTTCTTGGTCTGAAGGGACAGAATTCTGGGGTAAAGTAGCAGGTTCCGTTTTTAGTAGACCCCTCCTGTCTGCTGCTGGAACACATCAATTGTATCTTCATCCTCCATTTCCAACTGTGCAGGTGTGTCTGTTTCATTGATTGGCTGCCCATCAAATAGGAACCTAATCTGCCTCATTGATAGACCCTGTCGTTCACAATAGGCTTTCATTAGTTTACTAAGTGGTGTATGCCTCTTAATCTTAAACTGTACCACAGAATCATCCTGCCCCGCCACCTTCAAATTAATATGGTCATTGCTCTTGGTCTTGCCGCCTTCCTTGGGCTTTTTGTCAGCCATGGCGAGCGCCGGAGTCTCCTCAGCTGCCGCTTCAAAAAAGAGGTACCAGGTCCACACCTAATGAGCACACAAGCAGCACCAGGAGCAGCAGAAGGAAGACGCAGCCCAATTATTTTTACTGACAAATCTGGAACAGCTGCATCAAAAACACAACATCCAAATAGTCAAGAAGACAATAAATAGAAACTCAATTTTGTTAATTATCAAGTAAAGGCAACTTAACATCACCATCAGAGAATACTCTACATGCATTGAGGAATGCTAAAATTTTAAAAATAGACCTGTCGGGGCGCCTGGGTGGCTCAGTCGGTTGGGTGTCCGACTTCAGCTCGGGTCCTGATCTTGCACTCTGTGTTTGAGCCCCTGGCACTTGCTTCAGATTCTATGTCACCCTCTCTCTCTGTCCCTCCTCCACTCAAGCTCTGTCTCTCAAAAATAAACATTAAATTAAAAAAAAAGACCTGTCAGCATAGACGGGAGAACCAATACATTGCTGGTGGGAACATAAATTGATAGAATTACTTTCAAAAACTGAGGGGCTATACATATTACAGTTTACCATATTACCCAGTAATTCCAGTCAAGTATATAAACACAACAGAAAAGCCTATATATGTGAACCAAGATAAAAGTATGAGAGTGTTCATGGCAACATTATTTGTAAGAGTCCAAAATACTAAATAACCCAACTGCCTATCAACAATAGAGTGAACTAGTGATGTTATATATTTATCCAATAAAATTGTAGCATAATGGAAAGCAATAAAGTACTATTACAAACAGCATGGACAGATTTCACAAATATAATATTGAACAAGATAACTTAGATACAAAAGGATATGCATGTATGATTCCATTTATGAAAAGTTCAAAAATAGGCATAACTCATCTATGGTATTAGAAGTCAAAATAGTGGTTTACATTGTAATGACTGAGAGGGACATGGGGGAGGCTCTGGGGTGTGTATGATGTTTTATATCTTGACCTGGGTGTTGGTTCCATGGGTGTGTTTATTTTGTAAACAAAAATATCAAGCTGTACACTGAACATACATATACTTTACTGTATGTATGTTATATTTCAATAAAAAATTTACAAAAAACCTAGCGACATCCAGACCTGGAAAGGATGTGTAGAAATAGATATTCTTGCATATTTTTAATTGAAAGTTGGTCGCTACATCCCTTTTGAACTTTGAAAATTATATTTATGGAAATTTCAAATATGCCTGTCATTGACCAAGAAATTTCACTTCTGGAAATCTATCTAAATAGTCAATATCATTGGTTCCTTACTATTTCTGATTCTCACTCTATGTGTGTGTTTGGATTGTTCTCAACTTCCTTAGATTTAGGCATTGCCATAGACTGACTTTGGCCAATGAAATTTGAGTGGAAGTGACATCCCCACAAACAAAATAAAAATGACTAGTGGTTACATAAAAACCAAACAGCCCTCCTTCCCTCCTCCGCCCCCCCCAAACTCCCCAACCTCATTTACAATTAACCAAATCCAAATAATAATAATAATGATAATAGGATTTCATTTTTTGCCTCTTTGGATATACAAACTAGAAAAAGAAAGACCTAGTACAATGTTGCAATGAGGCAAGAAACTAAACACTCATGCCCCAGGTCACATAGGTGGAAAGTGGGGCAGCCCAAATCAGAACCCATGTCTATCTGTATTCACAGCAGGTGGGCCTGCTCTTCCTATAACTTACTACTCACTCCTGGTCTACCATCTTAGTGGTAGAATCTTTGAAGGTAGCCCTAACCATGCTACAAATTGTGTCATGTGCTACATTTCAAATCATTAATTCTCACACTACCTCCAAATCTGTCTGAAAAGTAGAAATTACAAATATGTTGAAGCCATAACTGTAGCTTGCATTGTTAGCTGGCAAGAAGTCAAACTGGACTACCAGTCAACTAAACCACCATGTCTATAATGCAGTCTTTTTGGATTCAGGGACAGTTTCTGTACCATAAATGAAAAACAAGGAGAAGGGTGTGATACGATGGGGTCAGTTTTCATGGCGTCAATTTGTAGTCTCATTTTCCCCAAAAAGGAATGATTTAACCATGCTATTTTTGAATTTGATCCTTTCATATAATTTGATGTCACTCCATACCACTTCAAGGATTTTGACTTCAATCATTTTATCAGGGTACTTTAGTATTCCATTGTTTGTATGTGTATATGTATACAGGTGAATACTTCATACAATATCATAACCATTAAGAAAAAAATTTAATGCCTTCTTTCTCTCTTCCTCATTCTTTCTTTCTCCCCTCCCCTCCATGGTCTCTCTTGTCTTCTTAGAAAGAAGAGAAATACTGACAAATAGCATATGCTGACCAGAGCTAGACATCTACATGGGTAGATGACATGGAAGACACCCCCAGGGTAGTCAGACAACTAGAGACAAAAGATGTATATGGGCTGCACTGCTCAACCATGGAAAATTCCATTAACTAAGACAAGGATGTATGTGTATGTGGGAGAAGATGTGGTGTGTCTAACAAAATGGGATATATCATTTTCAGGTTTTTTTACTCTAATTATAACACTGTGATCTGAAGAGAGAGAGACGACAAGAGTAACACACTCCAAGCAGTCAGACAACTCTTGATATTAAGTACTTTTGCAGCACTGTAATAACCAAACCAGCCCCATGGAAAATTCCACCTTCAACTAAGGATAAAGCTCTCTCTCTCTCTCTCTTTTTCTGTGTGTGGTGTGTCTGTGTGTGTGTGTGTGTGTGTGTGTGTGTGTGTGTGTAACAAAATGTCAGAGGCCATTTTCAGCTTCATAAAAGATGTTGAAAATTACAAAGAATGAAATATATATAATTAGTAATCTTATCAGCCAGAAACATTTGGTATTAATATTTAGTTCTATAAACTTCCACATTTCTATTCTATTGCTATGGCTTGAATTGTACGCCTTTAACACATAATGCTGATGTCCTAATCACTGTTACCTATGAATGTGACCTGATGTGGAAATAGAGCCTTAGTGATATAATCAAGTTAAGATGAGATCATACTGGTTTAGGATCCTAATCCAGTATGACTGGTGTCCTCATAAGGAGAGAAGAAAAGAGATTTGGAGACAGAAAGAGAGAAATGCCATGGGAAGATACAGACACAAAGGGGAGAAGGCCATGTGAAGACAGAGACAGAGATTGGAATGATGTATTTACAAACTAAGGAATGCCAGTAGTTGCCAGTAACTACCAGATGCTAGAAAAGGCAACGAAGAATTCCTCCCCTACAGCCTTGATTTTTTACTTCTAGCCTTCATAACTGTGTACAGATTTCTCTTGGTTCAACCCACCTAGTTTGTGACATTTTGTTATGGCAGTTCTAGGAGCTAACACAATGTTGATACATTTTAAATAAACTATTTGAAAATAATCGGAAAAAACCTCCACAGTCTATTTAACATCCTTCCATGCTCATACTGTCTATATCATTATTTTGTTAATTGGTTGCAGAAGGAATAATTTCTGCATATTTTCAAATTTTTAATTTCATTTACTTTTCTGAGTATATAGGTAGTATATGTTTAGATAAGCAAATAGCAGGATAAATCTGTAAAATAATATTTAATTGCCCTGTGACCCCACTCCTAGGTCCCTTTCCAAGATATTATCTATAAATAGTTTTTGTATATATTACTCCACGTATTTTTCACTTCAGATTCAATACCAAGAGAAATCTCTCATTTCTTCTCTTTCCCTCTGTCACTGTGAGATGCATATGTTTTATTGGTGTCTTATGCTTATATTTTTATTGAAGTGAATATATAATATTATGTTAGCTTCAGGTGTACAACATAGAGTTTCAACATCTCTGTACATTACAAAATGGTTACAATAAATCTAGCTACTATCTGTCCCCACACAAAATTGTCACAGTATTAACAACTATACTCCCTATGCTATACATTACATCCCCATGTCTTATTTGTTTTATAACTGGAAGCTTATACCTTTTAATCCCCTTCCTCTACTTTGCCCAACTCCTAACACCTCCTCTCTGGCAATCACCAGATTGTTCTCTGTATCTAGGAGTCTATTTATGTTTTCTTTAGTTGGTTCATTTGTTTTGTTTTTTAGATTCAACATATAAGTAAAATCATATGGTATTTGTCTTTTTCTCACTTACTTAACTCAGCATAATATAATACCCTCTAGGTCCATCCATGTTGTTGTAAATGTTAAGATTTCATTTTTTTTATGACTGAGTCACATTCCATTGTATACACATACGACACCTTCTTAACCATTCACCCACTGATTGTCACTTACATTGCTTTTGTATCTTGGCTATTGCAAATAATGCTGCAATGAACATAGGACTCCACATATCTTTTTAAGTTAATGTTTGAGTTTTCTTCAGATAAATACCCCAAAGTGAAATTGCTGGATCATATAAGAATGCTTTGTGAAGCATTGTCTATATTGGCAAAATACTGGAAGATAATATCCACCAATGGGTGGAAGCTTGAACCAATTGTTGTATATTCATAATAGAGCATTTTCTTCAGCTACCAGAGAAAGAATAAGTTACATCTATATTAATGACTTGGAGAGATATCATGATATACCAAGTAAAATATATACACACACATAGAATACTGATAAAAGTATAGAATAATACATGGTAGATTTCTGGAGTTTGGAGGTAAGGAAGGAAAATGTGTGTTTATGTGAAATCATATGTTTTTAATAAGATCATTATTTTATTCCATTGTTTTTAGTGAACACATGCTAATTTTATAATTCTTGAAGAACATTTGATCACAGGTTGAAAAAATATACAAATTTGAAAACCTTTTAATATGAATGTATCAGTTGAAGAAAATATTATCATTTATTATAAGCTTAAAACTTATAATAACCTTAGTACCTAAAAGTTAAAAAAAAACATATTGTATAAACTCTGAATATTTAGTGCCATGAACATAGAAAATATGTTTAACTTATGAGTCATTTCACAGAAAAATCTCTATTTGTAATATACACTTTTTTCCTTAGAAGGGCCAAAACATCATTCAAGTAATGTGAATTATGAAATTTTATTTATTCAAAAATCCTCATTGATGACAGATAAAGGTTGGATAAAA